TTTTTTTTTTTTTTTTTTTTTTTTGGAAAGAAGTTTTAAATGCTTTACTGTTGGGACAATCTGTTTCTAAACCTGACTTGGTGGCAGTATCATGTGTATTTATAAAACAAGGCTAGTCATATTTAGGACAACTGAAGAAAAGCTGGAAAAAAAGAAAAACAAGCAAACTTGAACACTGAAGCAACCTCAAGCGTCTCTTTATGTTGATGATATATTTTTATAAGGAAAATAAATATTCAGATGATCAGGAATGTATATAAGTGAAATCAAGAAAAAATAACAGTATGCATTTAAAAAGAATTATGAAATTATATATCTGCTTAGAATGGGGCTACAGGAAGTGCTGAAATACAGCAAAAGGTAGGAAATAATGTAGACTGTCACCCACTGTAAATGTATGCAAGCGGCTGTGTTTTAAATAAACAGGATTATTACAGGTGATCTCTGTAAATGTCAGAGCCTTGGCTTCCAGGCTTTGCATTTTGTATATGAAAAGAAATAATGACAATCCTAGAGAATTAGACATAAGCCGAAGCCCTTACATTTGATACATTTTGTTTTAAAAATAGACCTTGTTTTTCAGCTTCATCTGCAGTTCTATGTGAAGATTGATAAATCAGTTTTTACTTGTTTTATTAATAAAACGTAATTTGGATATCTTGAGTTGATGGTTTTGTGATTTAGCTGGGTAAACTATCTTTGTAACAGATAAGTTATTTATAAAAATTAAAAAATTATATTCTAATGTGGATTTTGTGGCTTGTTTTTAAAATTTATAGGGCAGGAAACAATTTGTATCCCAGCAGAACATTTGTTAATTGATATCAGGGGGAAAAAAAAATCATTCTCTAGAATCTTTTCATTGGCATCATGGCTTAAAACTGCATTTCTTGGATTCTTTTTATCACTTTCACCAGGTTTCATTTTTAACTGATGGAAAGGACTAGATTTCAACTGAACCAGGAAAATGATTATTGTTTTTATTTCATAGTGTGCTATAACTTTCCCTCCATTTCTTTTTAAACTGAAAATTTTTTGCCCCATTATTGAAAACAAATGTGATTTATTGGGCTGTTTAGTATAGGTAGTCATTTAGCTATTATTCATTGCCCGTGTTGCCTTGGTGATGAGAATGAGGGTGCTTCTTTTGAAGAGGACTTTATATTCAGTTTTCAAAAAATGATAGCTCAGCATTTTTCTGAGCTTGAATAAAATAACATGTGCTGATCCCTGTGATTTAGCTATAAAAAGGACTGCTTTGAGTTGTCTTTTAAACCTACTAGTAAAGGATATTCTTTGCCACGGAATATGAGGTGTGCATGGACATGTTGGTGGTTGGGAGACTACCTTTGGGAATTATTGTAATAAAACAATGACATCTAAAAACATGGAAAGGTGAACCTTTAAGTGTTTCTTGTCATTCATTATTCTTGGGTGCTAACATTCTCTGTTCAGGGTGGTAAGGAAATTATTTGTTCATGTAAACCGTATTTTGCAAGAAAACTCACATTTGAATGTCGGCTAGTAATTCCTATCATTACTGATAACACAGAGGTGCTATTATACTCCCAAGTTTTTTATGAACAAAATACAAGTTTCTTTTTCTTTTAGACTCCATTTACTTTTCTAAGTGACCAAACAGAATCAGTTTATAGCCTAAAATTTATATTGGGGAATTAAAATCAGTTTGAAAATTATGTCAGTCCAAAACTACAATAGCATCAGGCCCGGGATTTAGCTCAGTAGTTCTGCAGCCTGCCTTGCAAGCACAAGGACCCAAGTTCAATCCCTGGTAAAAAAAAGAAAAAAAAAAACTACAATAGCATCAGTGCATTTATAAATAGCAAAATTAACCAATATTTTATCACTTTCCTTTATTGTTGATGGCAAATTCTAGGAGCAGTGATAGGTTTTAAGAGGTGAACAGTGTAAGATACATTATTCAGGGCCAGGGATTTAGCTCAGTGGTTCCGCTGCCTGCTTCGCAAGCTCAAGGTCTCAAGTTTGGTCCCCAGTACCAAAAAAAAAAAAAAAAAAGATGCATTATTCAGTCCATGAATGATTGAAGTTGACCGTGTTACTCTAGAAAATAATATTAAATGTATTGGCATCAAAGGCCATTCCAGATTTAGCATCTGTATGCTGGGTATTTAACATAGTTTCCAAAATTCAATTTGGTTTATAAAACACTATAATACAAGTGATACAATATTTTTGAACCCATTTTTTTCAAGGTGCAATTTTATGTTCATTTTACTTAAAGTGACTCCACTGCATTTTAATTTTTATTGCTTCCATCTGAAAATACAACTAAGCAATGAAAAGAAAGTCTTCTAAAGAAAACACTTTTTTCAGCTTGATATTTGTTAAATTGGGTCTTTTTCCCCTAGGGTGTACAGTAGACTGGTATGGGAGGTCAAACCCACCTCATAAAAAGTGTTGTAAAGATTAGAGTGAAATGTTGAGTTAACCCCTTCTCTCTCTGTATTAACTTGAAACAGTGAATCATGGTTTTGTATGAACAGGTTTTGAGGCATCTTTTTCTCAGCAGTGTTAATTAACAGGTAAGTTTGCTATTTTTTTTTCTAATTGTTTCAGGGCCATCTCAGTGGAATAGAATTTGGTGTTTCAATCACATAGCTGAGTTTTCCCCCCTTTTTAATGTCCGAGGCGGGTTGCTTTGCAGAGATTATAAAAATGTCAAAGGCTGACCTGAGGATTAGTATGTTTATATTTCTGTTGCTTGTCCAGCTATCTGAAGAATGTACATTTTATGGTGGAGTATAACATTTCTCCAGGAAAACAAGTGGTCTATTGGAAGGACCTAAATCTAGGGTTCAAACATCTGCATATTTACTTTGTCTAAATTGACCCAAGGTTACTGACTTCCTCTTTCAGATCATGTTCTTCTAGCTACGTGATATAGTACAGAACCAATATGACTTAACTGATTTTTGTTCCCAAAATGTTACTGATCCTCATGGCCCGGTAAACACTTACCTGAGTATCTTCACCATTAGTAGGTCTGTTCCTGTTTACACTGATTCTCCTACTTGCAGGTTTTTTAAACACTTTCTTGCGTATTGCCACAGTGTTATATAATACATAACAGAGATAACACCACATCCACACTCTTGTTCAGAAGTCTTCCTTGTTTGTTCACTGGGCTTGCTTTAGCTACCCCTGCAGGATAACGCGCATCAGAGGTATGTCGTGCATCCGTGTTCACCTTTTGTTTGTACTATGCAGTTTTTCCCTTGGGTTTTTTGCTTTTTTAATCTTGTTGGATTTTTTTTTTATTCTTTTGATGCTTTTACTTAATGGTTATGCTATTTTATAGAATTACTTTTCTAGTGTTTTGGATTACTTAGTTTCTCTTAATGTGAGCATTCCATCCTGAGTCAATCCCTGTCAGCACACCTGACTCTGACTCACTAGGTCTGATGTGAACAGTGTTGATGGTTGTAGCCTAGGAACAACTAATTTGGTGCTCCAGTCAATGCAGACAGCTCTGCCCTAAACCAGTCTTTACTAAGATACCTAGGTGATCTGAACCACATTTGCCTAAATGGATAATGAGAATATGAAGAAGTAGCCACCACACATCCCCCACTGTTTCTCGGAGATAATCAGATTGACTAAAGATTTACTTCAATTAGATAACTGTTTAGGGTTTTCAATATGATTCGTCCTGCAGATACTATGTTAGGTACTGTTCTAAATTCCTTATAAGTGTTAATTCATGGAACTTCAACATAACCTAAAGAGGTGGATGATTCTATCCATGTTTTCCCTAGCAAGGAGAGGTCAGACACCTTGCCTGGGGTCATATAGCTAATAAGGTCAATGCCAGAATTCAAAATCACATCTGATTCCAGTCATGCTTCTGACCACTACAAAGTGCAGTCTGAAGACTCTCAGAAGGAACTTTCCAACTGACTTTTATTCCCATTTCTTTCAGGAGAATCTGGTCATCAGCTCAGTCTGCAGAATCATTTTTTAACATTTTGACTCGTTACTTTTTCCTTTGCCCTACCCCATTATGTATGAGAACAGAGTCTCTTGATTTTGTTCACCACTGCATACCCTGTGCCCTTTATGAATCTGACACAGAAGGTAGACAACAAGAGTTAAGTTCCTTTAGAAATTTTGTACCAAGGTCTATTTAGCACTCATCTCTAACCATGGAAGGGTGAGCTTGGCCTCCAGACTACCCTAAACAGCTTCCACTTGGACATAGGCTGAGAAGGAGAGCTCTGGACTAAGATTTTTACAGCCCTCCTTTTGTCAGGTGGCATCCAACAGTAGGGGTGTAGGGGAAATAATATTGTCTCCACTATAAATAGCCCCACAGGGAGGAATATTGGACTGTGTGTTACTGCTTTTGCTTCTGTAGTGTTCTACCTGGTTTTGTTACATTTTCCTACATCAAGTATTTTGCAGGGTTTTATGTTTGTTCCTTGATTGAATTCACTGTCCCCATTCTCTTACCTTCCAGTTAACTTTCCCTTTCCTTCTCATATATATCTCCTCCGTGCCCCCTTTTTGTATGTAAATCTCTTTAAGTCCTTTTTGTTGTCTTTTTATTTCCATCACCTTCCAACCTATCCTACATCATTACTCTCCCTTCTTTTCCTGGTTTACTGAAATAATCACCAGTCCAATTATTTAAATACAGGATGACCAAAAATTGCATTTTTTGTTGATTTTTATAAGATTATTTTAAAAGGAATCTAAAAACTTTATCAAATTTATTCAATACAAGAATCAACTAGTTGAAATGGTAGTTATAATTATACAACAGTGCTGGGGATTAAACGTGATACATTGAAGAGACCAAGTAGGTGCTTTCATGCTAAGGGACATTGAAAAAAGAAAGCCACACCAAAAAAAAAAGG